CGGGTGGGCGTGGTGGGGCGCCGGTGGCGAGGGCGGCTGGTCCGGCGTGTTGGAGGGCGGGAGCGGCTGGAAGGTCTTGTCGAGCAGGTGGTAGCGGAACACGTGCGGCGAATCGTGCGAGAGGTCGTGCGAGTGCGACCGGTTGTGCCGTCGACAGGGCGCCGCCGTGGGCGCGGTGGCGGAGGGGCCGTGCGTGTGGCTGTGGAAGTGCGTGTGGCGGCACGGGCACTCGGGCTCCAGCAGGCGCGCCTTGACCTCGGCGGGGTCCGGCGGCGACCCGGAGTGCTCGCAGCCGCACCCGTGCCTGCGGCGCCTGCGGCTGTGGTGGTGGTCGTGGTGGTGCAGGTGGTCGCGGCGGCGGTGCAGCGGCGTGTAGTACAAGTTGTTCTTCTCCATGTTGGCCTGGATGATCTGCAGCAGCTCGTGCCGTTGCAGGGACGTGGAGCGCCGCCGCGTCTTCCGCCTGCGGTGGCCGCGGCCCGGGGCGGCCTTACAGGGCTCGCCGCCGTCCTCGCCTTGCCATTGTCTCCGGGCGCGTCCTGCTGCGGCTGCGGGGGGGAGTGGGGGCTGGGGCCGGGGTGGCCGCGGCCCCTGCGGCCCTCCGGAGCCACCGTGAGCTTGACCCTGATGGTGCGGGAGCCGCTGGGCGGTAACGACAGCGACGACCCGACGGCCTCATAGATGGTGCGCACCAGGCCGGCGATATCCTGCGGGAGACGAGGGTTTAGAGGGCGCCACGGGACACGGCCCCCGGGGAGGGACTCGCCAGGCTAATCCTTGGCCAAAGATAGTTCGGATATTTAGCACTTTTATTTCATATATGCATCAATCAATTCTCTCTTTATCTATCTATCCCTCCCTCCGGCTCCACTTCTCCTTTACCCTCCCTTTCCCTTTCCTACAACTTCCCTCACTCAGTTCCTCTCCTTATCCATTACCTCCTTTTTTTTTTTTTCTATCCTCCCTTCTCTTTCTCTAAATGCTCTCTATCTCCGTCTCCCTCTCCTCTTTCTCTAATGCTCCTATCCATTCTTTCTCCTCTCCTTCTCCTATCATCTTCCTTTCTCTATGCTCTCTTATTCCCGTCCGTCTCCTATCCTATCTCCCTCTTTCTCTTATATGCTCTCTTATTTCCGTCTCCTAGTCTCATCCCCCTCTTTCTCACTGCCCTCCCTCTTTGCCCCTCTCCTTCTCCCTCTTCTCTTCTCCTCCTTTATCTCTAGCCTTACCCCGCCCTCCTCTCTCTCTCTCTCTCCTTCCCCATGCTCTCTCCCCTTTACCCTCTCCTCTCTCCTCATCCATCTTTCTCTCCCTTATCCTCCGTTCCATTTCTCCCTTCCCTGCCCATCTCCTCTCGTCCTTCCCTATTTCCCTTCCTCTCCCCCTCCACTCCCTTTTCTCCCTCTCCCTCTCCTCTCTTCCCTTCCCCCTCTTTTTTCTCCGCTCCCTCTCCCTTCTTTCCTTCTCCCCTCTTCCTCTCCTTCTCCCGCCTCTTCTCACTCCTCTTCCCTTTCCCCCCCTCTCCCCTTTTCCTCTCCTCTCTCTCTCCCTCCTTTCCTTTCGCACCCCTCTCGCTCCTCTTCCTCTCCTACCCCCCTCCGCCTCCTCTTCCTCTCCCTCCTCTCGCTCCTCTTCCATTCTTACCTCCCTCCTCTTCTTCCACTCCTTCTCTCGTCATCTTTCTTTCCCACCCTCCCCTCCCTCCTCTCCTACCCTCCCCTCTTCTTCCACTCCCTCTCCTCTCCCTCTTCTCCCCCTCCCCTCTTCTTCCCTCCCTCTCCCTCTTCTTCCTTCCCCTCCTCTCGCCCTCTACCCTCCCCCTCTTCTCCCTCTCCCTCTCCCTCCTCCCCGTCTTCTCCCACTCCCTCTCCCTCTTCTTCTCCCCTCTCGCCCTCTCCTACCCCCTCCCCTTCTCCACCCCCACCCTCTTTCCCTCTCCCTCCTCCTCCACCTCTTTTCCACTCCCTCTCCTCTTTCTTCCCCCCTCTCGCCCTTTCCTACCCCCTCCCCCTCTTCTCCCTCTTCTCCTCTCCCTCCTCCCGTCTTCTCCCACTCCTCTCCCTCTTCTTCTCCCCCCTCTCGCCCTCCCTACCCCTCCCCTTCTCCCCTCTCCCTCTCCCTCTCCCGTCTTCTCCATCCTCTCCTCTTCTTCTCCCCCTCTCGCCCTCTCTACCCCTCTCGCCTCCTACCCCCTACCCCCCCCTCTTCTTCCATCTCCTCTCCTTCTTCTTCCCCCTCTCGCCCTTTCCTACCCCTCCCTCTTCTCCCTCTCCTCCTCCGTCTTCTCCACTCCCTCTCCCCTCTTTCTCCCCCTCTCGCCCTTTCCTCCCTCCGCTCTCCTACCCCCTACCCTCTTCTCCCTCTCCTCCTCTCCCCCTCCCCTCTCTTCCACTCCCTCTCCCTCTTCTTCTCCCCCCTCTCGCCCTTCCTACCCCTCCCCTCTCTCCCTCTCCTCTCCCTCTCCTCCCCGTCTTCTCCCACCCTCTCCCTCTTCTTCTCCCCCCTCTCGCCCTCTCCTACCCCTCCCCCTCTTCTCCCTCTCCCTCTCCCTCCTCCCCGTCCTTCTCCCACTCCTCTCCCTCTTCTTCTCCCCCCTCTCGCCCTCTCCTACCCCCTCCCCCTCTTCTTCTCCTCCCTTCTTCTCCCCTCTCGCCCCTACCCCCTCCCCCTTCTCCCTCCTCCTCCCCGTCTTCTCCATCCTCTCCTCTTCTTCTCCCCCTCTCGCCCTTTCCTACCCCTCCCTCTTCTCCCTCTCCTCCTCCCGTCTTCTCCCCCCTCTCCCTCTTCTCTCCCCCTCTCGCCCCTACCCCCCTCCCCCTCTTCTCCCTCCTCCTCCCCGTCTTCTCCCACTCCCTCTCCCTCTTCTTCTCCCCCCTCTCGCCCTCTCCACCCCTTCATACTCACATCCTTCGTCACTTTTCCGTGTCCATCGAAGTCGTAGAGAGTGAAAGAGAACTCCTGTCGCTCTGCCTCTCCCGCCGCCACGCTCACGTCGCAGGACACCTCCTGGGGAAGACGGGCCCGAGTTAAGAGGAAATCGCCGGTCAGTGATTTTATTCGTTATTCCATTCGTTATCAAGTGTTTGTTTTTTATCTGTTATCAAGTTAGTTTGTTATTATTGTTCGTTATCAAGTGTTATCAACTTCTCCCTTTCGGTCGTTCGTTGCATTCGTTATTATGGATGTGTCGTTTCAGCGTTGTTTATTTCGTTCAAGCGTCACTTATTTCGTCTTTCAAACATCATTCAATTTATCATTCAACCGTAACTGATTTCGTGATTCAAGTCGTCAATTTATTCGTTATCAAATACCTTCGTCCAAGTGTCACCCATTTCGTCGTTCAACCGCCATTCAATTCGTCATTCAGATATCATGCAATTTGTCATTCAAACGTCACTTTTACGCCGTTCAAATGTCAATCAATTCGTTATTCAAATCAATTCGTTATTCAAACGTCGTTTAATTCGTTATTCAAACGTCATTTAATTCGTTATTCAAACGTCATTTAATTCGTTATTCAAACGTCATTTAATTCGTTATTCAAACGTCGTTATTCAAACGTCGTTTAATTCGTTATTCAAACGTCATTTAATTCGTTATTCAAACGTCGTTTAATTCGTTATTCAAACGTCATTTAATTCGTTATTCAAACGTCATTTAATTCGTTATTCAAACGTCGTTTAATTCGTTATTCAAACGTCATTTAATTCGTTATTCAAACGATTTAATTCGTTATTCAAACGTCAGAACGTCATTTAATTCGTTATTCAAACGTCGTTTAATTCGTTATTCAAACGTCGTTTAATTCGTTATTCAAACGTCATTTAATTCGTTATTCAATCGTCATTTAATTCGTTATTCAAACGTCGTTTAATTCGTTATTCAAACGTCGTTTAATTCGTTATTCAAACGTCATTTAATTCGTTATTCAACGTCATTTAATTCGTTATTCAAACGTCATTTAATTCGTTATTTCGTTAATTCGTTAAAACGTCGTTAATTCGTTATTCAAACGTCATTTAATTCGTTATTCAAAACGTTAATTCGTTATTCAACGTCGTTTAATTCGTTATTCAAACGTCAATTTAATTCGTTTATTCAAACGTCATTTAAATTCGTTATTTCAAACGTCATTTAATTCGTTATTCAAACGTCATTTAATTCGTCATTTAATTCGTTATTCAAACGTCGTTTAATTCGTTATTCAATTCGTTATTCAAACGTCATTTAATTCGTTATTCAAACGTCATTTAATTCGTTATTCAAACGTCGTTTAATTCGTTATTCAAACGTCATTTAATTCGTTATTTCGTTTAATTCGTTATTCAAACGTCGTTTAATTCGTTATTCAAACGTCCGAATATTCAAACGTTTATTATTCAAACGTCGTTTAATTCGTTATTTCATTTAATTCGTTATTCAAACGTCGTTTAATTCGTTATTCAAAACGTCAATTTAATTCGTTATTCAAACGTCATTTAATTCGTTATTCAAACGTCATTTAATTCGTTATTCAAACGTCGTTTAATTCGTTATTCAAACGTCATTTAAATTCGTTATTCAAACGTCATTTAATTCGTTATTCAAACGTCGTTTAATTCGTTATTCAAACGTTCATTTAATTCGTTATTCAAAACGTCGTTTAATTCGTTATTCAAACGTCGTTTAATTTCGTTATTCAAACGTCATTTAATTCGTTATTCAAACGTCGTTTAATTCGTTATTCAAACGTCGTTTAATTCGTTATTCAAACGTCATTTAATTCGTTATTCAAACGTCGTTTAATTCGTTATTCAACGTCATTTAATTCGTTATTCAAACGTCATTTAATTCGTTATTTCATTTAATTCGTTATTCAAAACGTCATTTAATTCGTTATTCAAACGTCGTTTAATTCGTTATTAACGTCGTTTAATTCGTTATTCAAAATTCGTTATTCATTTAATTCGAACGTCATTTAATTCGTTATTCAAACGTCGTTAATTCGTTATTCAAACGTCATTTAATTCGTTATTCAAACGTCGTTTAATTCGTTATTCAAACGTCGTTTTAATTCGTTATTCAAACGTCATTTAATTCGTTATTCAAACGTCATTTAATTCGTTATTCAAACGTCATTTAATTCGTCAAACGTCGTTTAATTCGTTATTTCAAACGTCATTTAATTCGTTATTCAAACGTCGTTTAATTCGTTATTCAAACGTCATTTAATTCGTTATTCAAACGTCGTTTAATTCGTTATTCAACGTCGTTTAATTCGTTATTCAAACGTCATTTAATTCGTTATTCAAACGTCATTTAATTCGTTATTCAAACGTCGTCGTTATTCAAACGTCATTTAATTCGTTATTCAAACGTCATTTAATTCGTTATTCAAACGTCGTTTAATTCGTTATTCACGTCGTCGTTAATTCGTTATTCAAACGTCGTTTAATTCGTTATTCAAACGTCGTTTAATTCGTTAATTCAAACGTCATTTAATTCGTTATTCAAACGTCGTTTAATTCGTTATTCAAACGTCGTTTAATTCGTTATTCAAACGTCATTTAATTCGTTATTCAAAACGTCATTTAATTCGTTATTCAAACGTCGTTTAATTCGTTATTCAAAACGTCATTTAATTCGTTATTCAAACGTCATTTATTCGTTATTCAAACGTCGTTTAATTCGTTATTCAAACGTCATTTAATTCGTTATTCAAACGTCATTTAATTCGTTATTCAAACGTCATTTAATTCGTTATTCAAACGTCATTTAATTCGTTATTCAAACGTCATTTAATTCGTTTATTCAAACGTCGTTAATTCGTTATTCAAACGTCATTTAATTCGTTATTCAAAACGTCGTTAATTCGTTATTCAAACGTCGTTTAATTCGTTATTCAACGTCGTTTAATTCGTTATTCAACGTCGTTTAATTTAATTCGTTATTCAAACGTCATTTAATTCGTTATTCAAACGTCGTTTAATTCGTTATTCAAACGTCGTTAATTTCGTTATTCAAACGTCGTTTAATTCGTTATTCAAACGTCGTCTTTAATTCGTTATTCAAACGTCGTTTTAATTCGTTATTCAAACGTCGTTAATTCGTTATTCAAACGTCGTTTAATTCGTTATTCAAACGTCATTTAATTCGTTATTCAAACGTCATTTAATTCGTTATTCAAACGTCATTTAATTCGTTATTCAAAACGTCATTTAATTCGTTATTCAAACGTCATTTAATTTCGTTATCGTCATTTAATTCCGTTATTCAAACGTCATTTAATTCGTTATTCAAACGTCATTTAATTCGTTATTCAAACGTCGTTTAATTCGTTATTCAAACGTCGTTTTAATTCGTTATTCAAACGTTCATTTAATTCGTTATTCAAACGTCATTTTAATTTCGATTCAAACGTCGTTTAATTCGTTATTCAAACGTGTTTAATTCGTTATTCAAACGTCATTTAATTCGTTATTCAAACGTCGTTTTAATTCGTTATTCAAACGTCATTTAATTCGTTATTCAAACGTCATTTAATTCGTTATTTCAAACGTCATTTAATTCGTTTATTCAAACGTTCATTTTAATTGCGTTATTCAAAACGTCATTAATCATTTAATTCGTTATTCAAACGTTTTTAATTCGTTATTCAAAAGTCGTTTAATTCGTTATTCAAACGTCGTTTAATCGTTATTCAAACGTCGTTTAATTCGTTATTCAAACGTCATTTAATTCGTTATTCAATCGTATTTAATTCGTTATTCCGTCATCGTATTCAAACGTCATTTAATTCGTTATTCAATCGTCATTTAATTCGTTATTCAAACGTCATTTAATTCGTTATTCAAACGTCATTTTAATCGTTATTCAAAACGTCGTTTAATTCGTTATTCAAACGTCATTTAATTCGTTATTCAAACGTCGTTTAATTCGTTATTCAAACGTCATTTAAATTCGTTATTCAAACGTCATTTAATTCGTTATTCAATTCATTTAAATTCAAACGTTTAATTCGTTTCAAACGTTTAATTCGTTATTCCAAACGTCATTTAATTCGTTATTCAAACGTCATTAATTCGTTATTCAAACGTCGTTTTAATTCGTTATTCAAACGTCGTTTAATTCGTTATTCAAACGTCATTTAATTCGTTATTCAAACGTCATTTAATTCGTTATTTTCAACGTCGTTTAATTCGTTATTCAAACGTCATTTAATTCGTTATTCAAACGTCGTTTAATTCGTTATTCAAAACGTTCTTTTAATTCGTTATTCAAACGTCGTTTAATTTCGTTATTCAAACGTTCATGTTTAATTCGTTATTCAAACGTCGTTTAAATTCGTTAATTCGAAATTCGTCGTTTAATTCGTTATTCAAACGTCATTTAATTTCGTATTCAAACGTCATTTAATTCGTTTTCAAACGTCGATTTAATTCAAACGTCATTTAATCGTTATTCAAACGTCGTTTAATTCGTTTATTCAAACGTCGTTTTTTAATTCGTTATTTCAAACGT